AGCAAAGTGCAGAATAATGGTTACAGATGCAATTACTTGTTAAAAAAAAAAAAAAAGGCAAGGAAATATATCTGCACACACACACACACACACACACACACACCCCTAGCGAGATCACCAGAAGCCAGTAATGCTCTCTGGGAAATGAGGGTGAGAAGGAGACTTGCTGTTGTCTGTCTACCCTTTTGCCACTGGGCATTCATATAAATAAATAAATCCAAAAACCAAAAAACCCATTGCCGTTGAGTGGATGCCAACTCAGTGACCCTATAGGACAGAGTAGAACTACCCCATAGGGTTTCCAAGGAGCAGCTGGTGGATTCGAACTGCCAACCTTTTGGTTAGCAGCCAACCTCCTAACCACTGTGCCACCAGGGCTCCTCCAGATAAATAAATAAATCAGTCTAATTATTTTTAAACAATTAAAAATAAAATTAAAAAAACAAATAAAGGTGTGGTGCAGAAAATCCCTCTTCAGTACGGTCCGTCCACCCTGCCACTCCTTCCATTGTCTTCAATGTCCATGGGTGTGGGCCATCTCTCGGAGACACCACGGAGAGGCTCTGACCCTGGTGCTCCGCCTATGCCCTCTGGTGCTCGCTGTCAGGGCGGCCTTGCTAAGCCCTAGGCCCACAGGGCTCGCTCCTGCATGGATGCCAGTGCCACCTTCCTTGCTGGCCCACAGCCCTCCTCCCATTGTCCTACCTTCCCAAAGCCACAGGGCTGTGGCACACAGGCCCCTTTTTGTACCCGTGCCTTTGCCCTTGATCCTCTGCTCCAAGGATCCATGTGTGACCCAGGCCCCTTCCCAGACGCCTCTCCCTCCGGGGAGCCTTCCTGAGCCCTGGACTCATTCAGGCCTCCCGTATCCTGGACCACCCTCCTGTAGCCTGTGCATTCCTAGGGCGAGGCCACTCCTCCTGGCTCCTTGGGTCTAGCACAGGCAGCCAGCGCATGGCCTGCCCTCAGTAAGTGCTTGTGAACAAATGGGGGCTCAGAGTTTACAGAAACCCTGATGGAGAATGTCAGAGAACAACCCCTTAGCCTGGAATCCTGATCATGATTTCGGTGCAGTGGATTACTTTTATATGATCTTTCTCACCACGGTCTTGTAACTCCCACCAAATGACTGAGTGGGGTATACAAATGAGATGTGTGTGGCCCATCAAGGGGATTGGACAGCTTTCTAATAATACAAATAAGATGCATGGCACACTTGTGGGAATGAGACCATGCAAATAAGGTGTATGGAACCCTAACAAGGGGATTCGTTAGTTTTGCCATTCTACTAGGCTTAAAATGAGCCATCCTAGAGACAGAAGGGGGGCCCTCACAACCACCAAAAAGAAGAGCTAGGAGTGTGTTCTTTGGACCCAGGATTCCTGCACTGAGAACCTCCTAGATCCGGGAGACAGAGAGAGCGCTGTAACACCAGAGACGGGAAAGACTGTGAGAAGCAGTGGCAGAGAAATGGCAGCAGCAGAGACAGCAGAACAAGGAGACCAGCAGGAGACTGCACAGTGGGCTTCCTGGCCCACGGAGCAAGAAAGTTGAGTGCCTTCAGGCAGGAGGCTTCCTGGCAGAGTGGGATGCCTCTGGGCACTTATCGGCAAAGCTAATAACAGAGCTTTGTAACACTTGGCCTGAGCAGGGCAGAGGCCAAGGGGCAGAGAGAAGTGTCCCTGCAGGCACAGCTGAGAAGAGGCTGTCCTGATCAAAGAACTGTATCCTGAGTGTTCCTGAGCCTGAATTGTAACCTGTTACTTCCCTAATAAACCCTATAGTCATGAGTATTGTCTGAGTCTGTGTGGCCATTGCAATGAATTATCGAGCCCAGCAGAGAAGTAGAGAGTGACGTGGGTGGGACGGTTGGTGTCAGAATCGGTAAAAAAGTTGGAGGGTGGAGGCATGTCTGACCTCCGCCTTGTAGGAAACAGCCTCGGACTGTTGATGCTGATAATGATTCTCCTTCCCCCTTGTTAGAGGAGGTCAGAGGATGCCCCCGCCATGACATTTTCACAATGATTCACGTCTCAACCATATAGGGAAAATTCAAGCTGAAGGAAAAAAAGTAAAATGACTCGAAAACCAGGATCTGAGAGCCACCTTCACATATTTGCCATTTCCACTACCATTTATGCATTTGTTTACCTCATATGCATTTTACAGTTATTTTTTTCCCCAAATAATTAGATCACTACCATAAAAATTATGGTGTTGGCAAGGAATATTGAATATACCACGGACTGCCAGAAGAACAAAAAAAACTGTCTTGGCAGAAGTACAGCCAGAATGCTCCTTAGAAGGGAGGATGATGAGACTTCGTCTTAAGTACTTCGGACGTGTTATCTGGAGGGACCAGTCCCTGGAGAAGGACATCATGCTTGGTAAAGTAGAGGGTCAGTAAAAGAGAGGAAGACCCTCAATGAGACGGACTGACACAGTGGCGGCAACAACGGGCTCAAGCATAGCAACGACTGTGAGGATGGCACAGGGCCAGGCAGTGTTTTGTCCTGTTGTACGTGGGGTCAATATGAGTCAGAACGGACTCGGTGGCACCTAACAACAACAACAACTATTAAAAATACGTATATAAAGTCTTTGGATGCCGACCTTCACCTGCCCTTTCTTGGAGCTGATGCTATAAAGGAGCCCCAGACATCCAGCTTCACCCAGAGCCCTGCTCCTTGCTTCGAAAAAACCGAGAGCGAAGAAGAGAATCGCCTACTCGCTGTGGCATTCAGCGTTCTTTAGTGCCATGTCCATCAGCCACCTATAAGCACCTCAGGCCCTCTAGGTCCTGCCTGGGGTTCCATAATGCAGGGCTCCCCAGCCCATGTGCAATCCAAGCCCCTCCTTTGGGGTTTGGCTCATTTGGTGCCCTAGTCTAGCCACACCCACCTAGCAGTAGACTCTGAAAGACAATTAACTCTCGGACTCTGGCGCACATCTGGATAGATCTTCCCCCTCATCAGGGAGTCAGCAGTGAGCAAGACAATCCCACCACCACCGTGGTCAGAGAAAGCACCATTTCGTAACTAATTGCTCAATTCCTTACTTAACTGTGTTTGTTCCGAGTCCTCAGAGAGACGTGCAGGACTCTCTGAGAGTAGGTAAATGGGACCCTTGGGTGGGCAGGAGGTGACCAGGCAAAGGATACTTGTGGGGGTGGGGGGTGGGTCCCAAGCCGTATCTCTGGCCATTAGGTGGACATGTCCCCGATCCTCCTCATGACACACTCTGGTGCCTCCTAAGTCCAAGTCCTGTCCAGTGGTGCTCATGATCCTTCATGGTTGCCCCTTATGGAGAAGGCTAAGAATCTGTGTGGTCTTAGAGGCAACTATGGATGAAATCCATGTATACATCTTATCCTATGAAGTCACAGGATTTTTGCTTAATTGATTGCACTACAGTTTTTCACAAGATGTAAAGCGTGTCCTGGTGGCCCTGTCACAGGCCCTCAGGCAATCCAAACTTCACCAGCAGAGGAAGTCTTCTGGCCTGAGATGCCGTCTGATTCCCTAGGCACAACTTGGTTTTGATAAATCCAGGCTCTTCGTTGCACTGATTTTTCTACCCAAATGTGATTCTCTCCTGATGCTTTTCAGCCAAGAGCAGAAAACACCTACGAAGACAGTGGTGTCTCTTTCCCTGCAGGTGGGCAGCAGGTACAGGGAGATGGGCTCAAGGTCCCACTCTTGTTCACACCAAAGGGGACCTAGGAGCAGGCGTGTAGGGGATGGTGCCAAGCTCCGCTGTGCCCTGGAGACCTTTCACGGCAAAGCAATCTCCACACACATCTCGGCTCACCCTGAGCACAGTCCTTATCTTGGTGGGGACAGGTGGGTGACGTGAGCTGAGTCTCCACTGAGATGAAGAAGGACGAGGAGGAGAAGTATACGAAGTCCTGACTTGGATTTGTGCAGGCGCGGTCTGCGGCGGGGAGTGTGACTGTGGCTTCGAGGAGTGTTCCTGGCTTGCTGTCGGTCCTTGAGCTCCTCTTTGAAAACACTGGGCTTACTGGCCCTGGGGACATGAACCCTGGTGTCTTCTGGAGAACCACAAGGGAGTGCCTCTCTAATGCCCACCCTAGACCATCCAAGGAAACAGGGCTGACCTGGCCCTCCTCACCCAACCCAGCCCTGGTAGCCAGGGCACTGCTTCCTGGACTTGAGGATTTGGGAATCAAATTTCCAAAAAATGTATGACATAAACGCAAAACCAAACCCACTGCTGTTGAATTGATTCTGACTCATGGCAACCCCACGTGTTACAGAGTAGAACTGCTCCATAGGGTTTTCTTGGCTATAAACTTTATGGAAGCAGATCACCAGGCCTGTTTTCCTCAGTGCCTCTGGGTGGGTTTGAACTGCTAACCTTTCGGTTACTAGTCTAGCGCCACCCAGAGACACTAATGACATAGTGTGACTCATTAATTTTGCCAAGTAAAGACCAAAAGTATCTCGTCGTCACCATTTCTTAAAAGAAATTTTAATACCAAAAAAGTAGAAGGATATAATCTCAGAATAAAGGACAGCCCTTCTCATGACGATACTGGATGATGTAAAGCCTTCATTGGGATGACGAGTCACTTAGCTTGCCTGTGCCTCAGTTTCCTCATCTGGCCAATGGGGGTAATAGCAGTCTCTCCCTCACAGGGTTGCTGTGAGGATTAACTGAGTTGGTATTTGTGAAGTGGTCAGGACAGTGCCTGGCATGTGATAAGTGTGACATAAAGCTAGGTATAGCTAGATAGGTAGATGGATGGGTGCACAGATACTGTATTTTTGGAAATGAATAAAAACAAGCAACCAGGGATTGGGAAGACTGAGGTTGGAGATCCAGCCTGGGCCTTGGGGGGGTGAGAGTGTAATGTTGCTGTTCTCTTTGCCTCGTTCCCGTTATTCTCCATCCTAGTGACCCACTGTGTCTGAGCCACCCCTGCTGTGGTCTCTCCTCTGGTCCAGCGCTCACCCTCTGCCCCCACCCTCTCTCTGCAGGTCTTCGGGGGCCTGGTATGGATCCTCATCGCCTCCTCCCTGGTGCCCATCCCCCTGGTCCAGGGCTGGGTGATGTTTGTGTCCGTGTTCTGCTTCGTGGGCACCACTGCACTGCTCATCCTGTACATGATTGGCGCCCACAGCGGGGAGACTTCCTGGGTCACCCTGGTGAGTGGCGGGGGGTGGGGTGTAATATTGGACTCTCTCCCCTGGGGGCTGGCTTTTCCCGTACTGGGTGAAGCAGCCCTCACCTATGTTCTGAGGCTGAGCAAGCGCAAGCTTTTAGCTCAGAGCTGTTCCTAGTAACCCAGAGCTCCCTGCAGCCAGGAAATCGGGAGAAGGAAGGGTAGAGGGTGGCTTTAGTTCACTGCCAGATTCTCACTGAACCTGTTCTGCTTTCTCCTGAATGATTGCCTTCTTCCCGGATAACCAGCATCCCACCCCACCCCCTTACTGCCTGCACCTGCCACCGTCCATGGCAGCAGTTGGAATCCACCAGCCTACTCCGTCCTGTAGGGCTGCTATCAGTTGGAATCGACTCCATGGCAATGGTTTTTTTTTTTTTTGTATATCATCCAGGAGGGCTGGCATCATCTTGGGGAACCAGGGTCCTGGAGGCTGGAGCTGGACCCTCGTGGACAGCTCTGGGGGACTGGGCTTGGCTGCACAGTGGTGAGGCCACACGTATACCCAGCTTCTGATCCTCTGCCTCCGCCAGGAATGGCCTGGGGTCTTTATTCTGTATGAATTCTGCCTTGGGGTCCATGGAAAGGGTCAAGCCCACCATGGTGCAGGCAGCTCGCGATCAGCTCTAACTGTAGCTCTTAACCGCTGTGCCACCGGGGCTCCCCGAGGAGGAAAGGCCTGGTGAAATCTTGGCATTAAGATTTCAGCCAAGAAAACCCTGTAGAGCAGTTCTACTCTGTAACACGGGGCGCCACGAGTCAGCATGGACTCAACCGCAGCAGCTATGGGACGCCTGCGTGCTAACTATCGAGGAAGGGTGGGGGGCCGTTGGCTGGCCTCTCCTCCCCAAAAGCTCTCCGACTAAGACTTTTGAAATCACCTCCAAAGTACAACTACAAAAAAATCCTTGTTTCAGTACTTCGTTTTAAATATACCAGGAGCCTGAAAACAAAATAAAATAAACACAAGCAAACAATGGGAAGGGCGTGGGCCTCTCTCACCCCGCGCTGCTCATTGTCCTGCCGCATCCAAGCCAGGACTGTGAGCACGTGTGACAGTCTCAGGCCCAGGACCAACTCCCACCCAGTAAACCCCAAGCTGCCCCCCACCCCCTTACTGGATCCCACCTCAAAGGAAGAGGCATCCCTTCTTCATCAAAGCCTCCTCTGACCCCAAGACCAGAGAGGCAAACCTCGGCTGGGCAGCGCTTGTTAGCCAGTTGGGTGAGGAGAGCAGCGGGCAGGGGGACATCAGGGTGGGGGTAGGATGAGAAGGAAGAAGCAGAAGGTAAGGAAGGGGCTGAGCCAAGCTGGGTGGGCGGGGGGCCCATGGGCCTCGCTGGCACCATCTCCACGTGGCAGCCCAGTGGTGTCCGTTCTTCCCGTCTCTGACGCCTCTTCTGGTCTTGCAGGATGCAGCCTACCAGTCTGTTGCCTCTCTGTTTTACCTCAGTGCCTCAGTTCTGGAAGCCCTCGCCACCATCCTGATGCAAGACGGCTATACCAGTAAACATTACCACGAAAACATCTCTGCTGTGGTAAGTGCCTGGTGTGACAAACCCACCTGACAGAAGCTCGGATCTGGAGGCTGCCGGGCCCAGCCCTCGTGGGTTTTTTGTCGCTGTTCACTAACTTTTCAATGAAGTGCAACCCTCCCCTCATTTCTGAAGAAACAAAGCCCGGGAGAAGGGAAGTGATGTGCTCAAGATGCCCTTCCTGCTCTGATCGGTGCCTGGGCTGACCTCAGCCCTGGGCTGGGCTCCAGGCTCGTGCCTGGGGGCTTTGTGGAGGGCAGGTGTGTAAGCAAACAACTGTCTGAGCTCGCAGTGAACAATCTCATTTAACCCTCTCAACAACCTGTGACGTAGGCGCTGTTATCATACCCACTTCACAGAGGATGTGGCTAGCCCCCCAAGGCCACTAGTGATGGGGAGCCGGAGGTCCAGTCTCGGTTCTCTGTCACCCCACTCTCAGCACGGTTGAGAGCAGGGAGTCTGGCTGGTGGGGGCTGCTGCCCGCATCTCCTAACTGGGGGCCTCCTGCTGACGTACCAGTCAGGGGCAGGGCAGCGCTGAGGCCAGGGCTGGGAAATCAAGTGGCCAGTGTCTCCCCAGGCCTGGGCTGGGGCTGTTGGGGGGCCCCTCCAGGCCCAGCGTGTCCAGGCCACCCAGCTGTGGATGTTTGCTGCTGTGGTTAGGCCTTCAGCTCTTTATGACGTGATGAACGTATTTTACCTCACCAGCTCTGAGGACCTGTGGGGAGGAGGATGGGGAAGAAGCTTACATCTCATGTTCACCAGCTCCTTCATAAGTCACTCACACTCTCTGGGCCTTGGCCTTCTGGTGTATAAAATGAGGTAATTCCTGCCTGTTTACCTCAGGGGTTGTGGAGAGATTAAACAACTTCTCCCAAAGCCTCACAATGAGCAAAGGGCGGAGCAGGGGCTTGAACTAATCTAATTCTTCACCCCATCAGCAGAACAAATGAGGGCGCAGACCAGGTGTGCATGCTGGTTTCTGAGTCTTAAAAGGAACATCCTCCAACTGCAGAGCCGTTAGCGGGCTTCAGGACCAGCATAGCAGGTCATGACCTGGATTTTCTTTTAATGGAATGAGTGGAACAGATCAGGATCGCAGGCAGGAAGAAACTGGGTTGTTTCATACACCCTGCTTCAGAGTTGCGCATGCGTGCACCTGCAGTGTATTAACTCACCGTGTAAAATGGGTCTTACACCTGCAGTGTATTAACTCACCATGTAAAGTGGGTCTTACACCTGCAGTGTATTAACTCACCATATAAAGTGGGTCTCACACCTGCAGTGTATTAACTCACCATAT